AAATTGTGAACATACTTTATGTATATCAGTATATACTTGTAACAACATTCATGTGTTTTACGACCAATACCTGTCTTGGTTACCTTGAAATCACAGATGCTAAAAATGACTGTCATCAACATCAAACCATGCACTTCACATTATCATCTGAGAACTATGGGTTATTTGTGAACCACTTAATAGAAGGGAACATACAGGTTTTCTCATGAAAAGACTTTATCTCAAATTCATGTATTATCAATTATATAAAGTATTAATTCCGTATGGTATATATTTCCTAGTAATCCATAGCATGTCACCCAGAAACTGGGAGTTATCCTGGACTCGCTCCTCTCCTACCTTGGCCCCTGTATTTGATCAACTATCAATTTCTGTGAAACTTAACATATTAACATCTCTTGAATCAACCACTCTTCTCCACTAATTTCTCTCCTTCTCCATTATCACCACTGTCGTCTAAGCCAATCTCTCCCATGGCCTAGCCTCTCCTAATTTCACATGCCCTCGGCTCCTCTCCAATCCAGTGTTTATAATGCAACCATAGTGATTATTTAAATTTTAAAAAAAATGATTATGTCAGGTGCCTGGGTGGCTCAGTTGGTTGAGCGACTGCCTTCGGCTCAGGTCATGATCCTGGAGTCCCGGGATTGAGTCCCACATCGGGCTCCCTGCTCAGCGGGAGTCTGCTTCTCCGTCTAACCCCACCCCCTCTCATGCTCTATCTCATTCTCTCTCTCAAATAAATAAAATCTTTAAAAAAAAAAAGAATAAATTTTAAAAAATGATTATGTCATTGCTTTGCTTTAATGAAAACCCTTCACTGACTTTCCACAGTACTCAGGATAAAGACCAAAAACTTAACTAGACTCTCCAGGATCGTGCCCAGGGATTCCCAACTCAACAACCACCAGGTGAAACGCTGATTCATTAGATTTACTTATCTGGCAGCTTAGTAGTGGAGAGGCATAAAATGAAGAGCACATACCCCTCTAGAGAGAGCAGCTGCCCAGATCCAGCTCAGGGCTGCCATCTGAAAATACCCATTTGGGTGTTGCCAGATCCTCCAATTTTTTCAAGAGAAATCAGAAGTCCAGACTTTCATGTGAAATCTCCTGATATGTGAAGGCCTGCAACTAACTCATACTTTCTGAACAACAAGGAGGCCAAATCTGACCTCTCATGTAGTCTTTTCGCCTAGCCCCACACTGCTAAATCTCTACACCGGCCATACTGAACATTTCTCAGATCCTCAATGATGCCAGGCTTTTTTCTTAGGGTTCTCACACATGTGGTGTCCTCTGCTTTGATCACTTTTTCCCACATCTCTACCTCACTTAGCGATCTATTTGTTCTAAGTCTCTGAGCCATTCATTGCTTCCTCAATGAAAACTTCCCTATTGCCATGGGCTGCCCCCTCCACCCCAATCCACAGGATAAATCACACCATTATGTGCCGTGACAGCACTGAGTACAACTCCATAACACTTAGCACACTTTGAAAATAAATGTATGTATTTAGGGGCGCCTGGGTGGCTCAGTTATTAAGTGTCTGCCTTTGGCTCAGGTCATGATCCCAGGGTCCTAGGATGGAGCCCCGCATCGGACTCCCTGCTCGGCGGGAAGCCTGCTTCTCCCTCTCCCACTCCCCCTGCTTGTGTTCCCTCTCTCGCTGTGTCTCTCTCTCTGTCAAATAATAAATAAATAAAATCTTTTAAAAAAAAGAAAAGAAACGTATTTATTTAATGCCCATCATCCCCCTAGATAAGAAGCTCCATCAAAGCAGGGCCTGACACGCAGTGGACAGGCAATACACATTTTTTGCTAACTACTCTGGTTATAAAATGTTCCTTTAGACAACAGGTTTGGGTATACTTTTAAAATATTCATCTGTTCCTAACTTTTCAGAAACATGTACAGTATTTAAAGTGGTCTCAAAATTAAACTAATTCAATTAAAACTACAATTACCAGTAACAATAACTGCTAATCTTTACTGAGCACTTACTAAATACTAGGAAATATTTTGAGCACTTTACATGTACTATCTCATTCACTAGAACAATCTGTAAAGTAAATGTCAATGTCATCCAGAGGAAGCAGCTTAGGCACAGAGTTTAAAAATTTCAAGATCATACATCTAATCAGTGACAAACTAGGGCATAAATCCGTGCAGTCAAGGCTCTAGAACTTAAGCACCTAACTATAATACTAAATTAACTCATAATAAAGAAAAGTCAATTCAACAGTACCCCTTCAAATACTGTGAATAAGAAATAATGGCCATGGTTCATGTTCCATTACTTATCCATTAAAGTAAGGTTCCTCATCCCTCTACCCTGCACCTTTCTACATACACAAAATAAATTATCAATTTGTAGTTTTCAAATTAAGATTTTTTTGAACCACACCCAAAATAGATATGATTTTAGCACCAACTAGTTCTGTTGAAATATTATCTTTCTGAATGATTTTTAAATGAGCTAATGTTTCTACATTAGCTTGATGTTTTATGTCTCACATTTTAAACTTATTATTTGAACGATCTCTATTTTGAAATGTAGTTTATTGCCCATGTTAGAAATTGCTACAGATTGTGCTTTCAGATATAAGCAACAACCGATAACATACCAAGCAAATATAAACAGATATAACCTCAGAAATATGTACAGAGATAATACAGGGATCCCTCTTCACCAGAACCCTCCCAATTTGAATCCTTGCTTTCAAAAATTCAGGAACTAAGCAGTTTGAATAAATTCTCACATGTATCATTTGATACCCGGGCTCTTACTATCCAAAACTCAGGATCTGGCTCACAATCCCTTACCATTAGACTCAATAACCAACCAAAGCTCCCAACTCAGGAACTCACTAGTTTTGGATAACAATACACAAAGCAAAATATTCACAGGTTATATAAACTTAAGAATTCTTGTTTAAGAGGGGCGCCTGGGTGGCTCAGTCGGTTAAGCGACTGCCCTCAGCTCAGGTCATGATCCCAGAGTCCTGGGATCCAGCCCCGCATTGGACTCCATATTCTGCAGGAAGCCTGCTTCTCCCTCTCCCACTCCCCCTGCTTGCGTTCCCTCTCTCGCTGTCTCTCTCTCTCTCTCTATTAAATAAATATTTTTAAAAAAAAGAAAGATTTCTTGTTTAAGAGATCTAAGTAGGCTTTTTAAAAATGTAAAAAAGGTGGACATACCTGTATTCTCATTCAAATCTTTTTTTTTTTCAAATCTTACATTTTAACTACACTTAACTGAGAATTTTTTTTTTTTTAAGATTTTATTTATTTGACATCACAGCGAGAGAGGGTGAACAAGCAGGGGGAGTGGGAGAAGCAGGCTCCCCGCTGAGCAAGGAGCCCGATGCGGGGCTCATTTCCAGGACCCTGGGATCATGACCTGAGCCCAAGGCAGACACTTAACGACTGAGCCAGTCAGGCGCCCAGAGAGAATTTTTCTAATGAATATTTTTAAACTAGAATGTTGCCATATACTGTATATTTTTTAACCTTTAGACCACACAAAATATAAACTGTTTAGTACATGACAGATTAGTGTAATAATAGAGTTCAGTAATGTTAATGTGTGGCTCTCAAGGAAATCTGAAGCCAGTCTTAACACCCTTTATTCTCAAATATTTATCATAGCTTGTATAAAAATCATGGGAAATAAGGTTCTCCAGGAAAACAGTACTTTCAGTGTTAATTTTTCAGCAACATATTTCACAGATCACATCAGATTTTTCTCGAAGTCACAAAGAGCAAAGAGCAAAAATAAAAGAAACTGATGCGAAAAAGTACAGAAGTTGAAAATGATGGCAAAAAGTCCAAATTTAGTTACAAAATAATGGCTTGAAACAATTTTAGAACTACTCCACAAGGTTCGGCCAAAAGTCAAAGAATCGGGAAGCAAACAATGAATTAAGATTGAGAAAAAGGAAAAACCAGCTGTCATTACAACATTGCATTATCCCAAGTATTTAACTTAGGCTCACATCTGAACCTAAGCTTCTTCAACTCCTGCTTAATAAAAAGTGAAAACTAATGTCAGTTGAAAACAGAATTCAAGTAGTTTTTTCCACATACTCAAAATTATTTTAAGAAACAGGAAAAAGGGGACTTAACAGGTCAAAAAAAAAAATGTAGGTTTGAGAAAAGTAAACTACTTTCCCAAACTCTTCTTTTGACACAAATTGCATAAATGATTTAAAGAGATAATCACTAGAGCTCCTATTTTATCCTAATTTGTCTATACTCACCCAAGAGCTCTCCTCAAATTTGGTGATTTGAAAGAACGTGAACCATCAACCATATTGCAAAAGTTACTTGACACACTCCAACTCACATATTAAAAAAAAATAAAAAATTTAAAAACATAACCAAATCTTTCTACAAGACACAAAGTGAAATGACTAAGATTCGATGATATTTTTAACATAACTGACTTTCACATGGAGTACCAAAACAGATCCCCTGAAAATAACAGAAGTCAGGGTACTTTTGTACGCTAAGAAAGGACAGGTATATTCTGTCCATAGTTTGTCTTCCTAAAAAGGTAAGATTCACTACTGATCTTCAACTACAAGCTAGAGAATAAGAGCCCTTGGGAAGAGAACTCATAGAAGCTGTCAGGATTCAATGGGTCTATTTCACAGGGTGGCACTATGACTGAATGCAACACATTCTAATAAATGAAGACGCAGCATAGGTGATCATTTCTTTAAATTTTCCTACCTCCCAATTGTTCACATCAGACATAGTATCGCTGAGCACAAATGTTTCTCCTATATAAAACAAAGGAGCTGCACTTTAGATGGGGCTCTAAGAGCCCTTCCAGTCCATGGTTTTATTCCACCAGTTTTGAAGTAACTACAACTCTAACGACTCAGGGAAAATTAATCTTACTAAAAAAAAAAAAATAATAAGACAGATTTGATGCAATAAACCATACCCTGCTCTGCCAAATGTTAATACCAAAACTTCTGAAATAAACAAACCTGTGTCTATGTTCATCAGGTCCATGGATCAGGAAGACTCCAGGGTTTTTAGCCCCTTTGCTGGCATCTACATGAGGAATTAACACATCTTCCAAACCCAGATCAAAGCGTTTGTGTTTTGAAGAGTCTGGAAGGAAGAAGAACGCCCCAAAACACAGGGTGATGAAGGCACTTAGAATAAGGAGAAGGATAAACTTCTCGGAAAGTCTCAAGGTAGCCCTGTGATGTGGGAAGGCAGGCGGCCCCAGGTTCAGAGGTGGTATCCTTCGTCCAGATAAGGGCAGCAGGGCCGGGGTAGTCATCGTTTACGCTCTTGAACAGAATATCTTACAAAGTTCTCATCTTATATCAAACGTACAAGACATTGAACAGTCTCCAAAATCTTGGCAAAAAAATGGAGAAACTCAATTTTGCTTCTCTTAAAGGACTCCTGTGCTTTTTAATAGGGCACCTCTTTCACGCTCGTCCAATTACATTCAGAAACGTGCGTGGCCCCCACACCGATCACTAGTTTGTGTCCTGTAATATTTTCTCTGCCATTTGGTTTTCAGTACCTCATCGGGTTATCACAAGTCTCCTCTTCATTCCTAAGAGTAGATGAGGCAAGCAACACTGCAGAAAGGATGCAAGGTGGGGTCTTCCATTCCTGCACCCCAGTGAGATGCTCCAATGTGGTCTCCCGCCCCAAAAGGGAGACTGACCAGATCCAAGGAGTTGCAGATGATTCACTTAACCACCTCTGATGTTTCGATTCCAGAACCTCTTCACCTCGGTGGTGGAAAAATAAGGGGCTCCTCGGAAGTCGGCCAACAGGGAAGGAGGGAGGTCTCCCGCCTCGCCGGGAAGGCGAAGCGGCGGCGCCGGGCGAAGCCGCGGGAAAGGGGTCTCGCACGCCCGCGCCTCCCGACACCGCCCCCAGGCTCCACGCTCGCGGGAGAGCTCCGCCGCTGCCCCCTCGACGGCCGGCGCGAAGGGCATTCGCGCCCCAAATGCCTGCGCCCTCGCAGCCGCCGCTGCCGCCGCCGCTGTTGCTAGCGCACGGGTCTGGCGGGGAGCGGAACTTCCTCCTCGGGCGGCCACTGAGAAGCCCCGGCGTGTGCGGGGGGAGGGGAAGCGCGGCGGCCGCCCCCGCCCGGCTCCTCCTCCCGCTCGCCGCCGCCGAAGTTAACCCAGGCGCCTGCTCCCTGGACGAGGCCGCCGCTGACCCCGCCGCGCCCGGCGGCGGTGACCGGGCCCCCGCCGCTCTGCGGCGTGGGAAGAAGTCGAGCCGCGGCCCCTCAGTCCGAGAGCCCGGGGCAGGCGTCTGCTCATTCCTCGCTCGGCGCTGGGGAGGCGGCGGCCCCGGGCGCGCAGGAGCGGCCGCGCCTCGGGCGAGCAGAGGTCGGCTCCGTCTCCGTCCTCGCCGGCCGCGGGCCGCCGTGGGGGCCTCCTCGGCGCCGCCTCCGGTCGCTCGCAGCAGCTCACTCTGGCGGCGGCGGCGGGTGCGGGAGAGGCGGCGCGTCCACGCGGTGCGGGGCTGCGGCCCGGTCGTCAGCCCCTGCCTCCTAGGCCCGGAGAGAGCAGACAGTAGAGGGCCGACGCCCGTTGGGCACACGCCTGCAAGGGACCCGGGGGTGCGAGAGGGAGGGGGTGGATGGCCAGGGCCGGCCTGCCGCCCTGACTCGCGAGTGGGCGTCCCCGGGCGCCGGAGTGTGAGGTGCGCGCGCACGCTCCGGGCCCCGCCCCGCCCGGCCCGCGCTCCGGCCTCGCGCCGCTGCGGGCTCCAGCCCCGCGCGCCCTCCGGAAGCGTCCGGCTGCCGGCGTCTGGGCGCGCGGTGGGCGCGAATCGCCCCCAGCGCCCGGCTGCCAAGATTGCCGCTGCCAGGCGCCTTGCCATCGCCAGTTGGTGGCATTGATCCGGTCTTGGGGGGCGGGAGGAGGGCTCGGGTCGCGAAGGTTTCGCCGCAGTTAAGGTTTAGCGGAAGAAACGGGCTCTGGCGTTTAATCTTGCTCCATGGGAGTCTTCTGGTATAGACCGTCGGTCCCTAGGGCCCAACGGCAGGATCGCAAACTTCTTCCATGTAGCCCATGTGCACATTGCTGGGCACCCGAGACTCGAGCACCGACCATGTGCCTGGCTCTGTGTTAAAAATGGCGACCTTGCCCTTTCCGTTAGATTTCCATTCTGCGGAATGGGTGACACCAGCCCATATGACCTTATATGAAAGCGGCCTCTTCATGATTCAATTTCTGCAATACGTTTTACAGTCATCTCACGCCTCACCACCACCACTCCCGTAAAAAAAGATAAGTGTGATCGAGGAGGTTCTAAAACCCAAAAGGGCAATATTGTTTTAAATTCGGGCTTAACAATCTAGTCGATTCCTTCATCTATAATATTGAGAAGAACCATGTTGTGATTAAGTCCGAAAGAATGTTTTATAATATATATGTATTGTCGCTTGCAACTTACTTTCACATTGAGTTTTACTCTAATATTAAGGTAAGTTGTCATTCCCTCTAGGCATCCTTACTGATGGCTGGGGATTGGAGAGGAGGCCCTTAAATGGCAGGGGAGAAAAAGACAGTCTTAGCTCAAAAATCAAGCAAAAAATAAATAAATAAATAAATAAATAAATAAATCCTCATGCTCATTGGCACAACTCAAAGTACATTCCAGTCTGCACTATTTTCAGAAGCTCTGCGTATCTCACTACCTACCATATGACAAAAGAAGTCATTGTGGTTGACCATGCTTCGCCAAATCAAACAGATAAAAATGTTAACGGAGGGTCCCCTCTCATGAGTTCACCCAGTCATGCTGGCAGTAAAGTGTTCTGAATCCAAAGTGAGGTTTGTGTTGGACACTTGTGAAGAGTAGCTATACGAAACGCCCTGCCTTCCTGAAGTATCTCTATAAAATGTGCCAATTTTATGAATAAGTTTCTAATGCTGAGCCTCTCCGGAAGCCAAAGGAGAAGAAACATGGGTTTCCTACTGGTCAGGTCATTCTTTCCCATGAAAAGATGAGGGAAAATAAATATTGAGCTATGAATGACATAGCAAGTTATGTATGTGTCTTGCAAAGTAAATATTTAAGTTGACACTAAATCATTAACCACAGAGAGATCAATCATAGGAAACCTGCCACAACCTAGTGTGACTTTGGCAGGCTCAACCTCATAGCTTCTGGAAAAGTCTTATATGTGCCCCTTCTTTCTTGCTCTTGCCTTTCTGCAAAATTCATTTTTCCTTCATGAGAGTAAAAACATCATTATTTAAATTTGGGGTTATTGTAGATGTTTAAGTTCAGTCTGCAATTCTGAAGCCATTGATGCTGTCAGTTATTACAATCCTACCCAAGCATCAAAAAGTGGCATGTAAAAAAAATCACATATATATTGAGTGTGTGCATGTATTCTCTTCTAGAGACTAGGTCCCTTTCAAATAAGTTGCAGGAGAAGAAGCACCATTTTGTTGGTTTTCCTTAAAGCAAGTTGCAGATGTATTCATAAATATGATTACAAGTATATAAAAATATGCATGTAAAAGTTTAAAAGGGGGAGCGCCTGGGTGGCTCAGGTGGTTGGGCGTCTGCCTTCTGCTCTGGTCATGATCCCAGGGTCCTGGGGTCAAGTCCCGCCTCAGGCTCCTTGCTCGGCGGGGAACGTGCTTCTCTGCCTCTACCTCTCTCTCTCTCTCTCTCTCATGAATAAATGAATAAAATCTTTAAAAAAAAATAAAGATTAAGGGCGCCTGGGTGGCTCAGTTGGTTAAGCAACTGCCTTCGGCTCAGGTCATGATCCCGGAGTGCCAGGATCGAGTCCCACATGGGGCTCCCTGCTCAGCAGGGAGTCTGCTTCTCCCTCTGACCCTCTTCCCTCTCATGCTCTCTATCTCTCATTCTCTCTCTCTCAAATAAATAAATAAAATCTTTAAAAAAAAAAGATTAAAAGGGAAGATTTGAAAAAGAAGTATAACTGTTGTGTTAAGATGCTGATATTACATTTGATTTTCCCCATGTGTTCTGTTTGTGTTCCTTTTATGGAATAATGTCAAACTGGTACCTGAGAAAGTTGAGGTCAGATTTCAAATAGGTGGACTCAGTTGTATCAAGGTGAAAACATCTGGGGCAATCAACAGAAAGCAGAGCATATATATAAAACAGGGAAGGATCTCATTCTACAGAGTCCAAAGAGAATATCTCATTTTCAAAGAGTAGTTATGCTTTAATCAAAGGTATAGACAAGATTCCAAAGTGGCAGATAAAGAGATGATTTCCCTTTTATAAATCCATATACATCAATTGATATTTCAGTAAATATGACTTATTAAATTACTAACAAAACAAAATTTACCCCTACATATTTTGGATTTATAGGATCATTACTGAGATCCACTTACATATTACAGTGTAAAAGTTATTTGAATTTATTCAGTCATATGTTAACTTTTCCATTATCAAAACAATTTTAACACCTATCTCACACACACACACACACACACACACCACCTAGCTGTGTTTTCAGTTAAGTTGAAGTTACATGCTAGAGAAAAAACATATATACACCTGATATGCAAAAAAAAAAAAAAAGCTTTTGTTTTACTTACATAACCTGTACTTCTTAGTTTCAACTGGTTCCCATATAACCAAGAAAGATGTTAGAGGAGAAATTACCAGACATGACCACGAAATGCATAGAGAACCAGGCTTTGGCATTGTTCTTTCTGTTTTCACATTATTCTTTGAAGCTTTCTTCCTCAGAGGGCAGGGATAAACTGAAGTTCAATGTTATGAAACTCTCAAGTTAGCTCTATGAAAATCAGCAAAGCCATAAAAGCTTCAGGTGTCTCACCGAGCCTAAGTCTTTGAGGTTCATTTGCTCATAAAAGACATATTTGTTGAAGGACTACTATGCGACATACCCTACGAGGTGCTAGAGATTTGGAAAAATAAGTCAGAATCCCTATTTCAACCAACTCACAGTCTAGTGTGGAGAGAGAGCTGAACACTGGCAATTACAAATGGCGGCGAGGGGGGAGGGACGATGATGTTAGAATAGAGCGCCAGGGGTTCATGGGAACGCTGAAAGGGCACCAGAGTGAGAGGAGGGAGATTGGGAGTGTGTTGGGGAAGGCTCCTGAATCAAGTGCCACCTGAACTGAGCTTTCAACCAGGAGGAGAGAAGGGTGGTGCTTCAACCTAAGGAGTAGAGAATGCACAGGAACCCCTTGTTGCTTTTCCTGCCACTTATCCAGAACCCTTCCCTGCTTACTCTTCGGATAAATAGCTGCCTGGCCCTAATCCCCCAATACTCTCCAACTGGGAAAGTGAAATTTTCAAATTTTAGAAAAACCTATTCCTATGTAAACACATTGCTGGGGCCTCTCCCAGAGCCCAAGACAGGGCCAAGCAAGGAGGAACCCAGAATCTTAAGCTACACTGGGCTCATATAAATTACTTCTGCTCTGAATCCCGCCATATCCAAGGCTAGTTCATCCTTTGAACTTCTCTGTTACACAAGCCTATACACTTCTTTTTTCATCAGAATTCGTTTCTGCAGCTTGCAATGTAAAAAGAGTCTCGACTGATACACAGCATGTCTGCATGGAGGCGCTCTGGCTGCCAATAGTATGCGAAGAAGCATCAGTAGTCTTACCAGTGTAAAGGACCACTTTCAGGTGGCCAACAGGCTTGGGCCAGGGACAAAAGTGGGATAGACCCAAGAAAGAACAACTGTCTTCTTGAGCAGCTGGAGGAGAAAACAAAATTGAAAGGGCTGGACACAAGCGACAACAGACCTTAGTAACCCCCACAGAAACCTTCCAGTGGATGCTCACATCCGCCTTTATAAAAATCAGTCTGATGCTAAAGGAAGCTAAGCATTCTTTATAAATCCTCATATTAAACTTGTTTTTAATCCACTCAAGGCAGTTAACTTGAGAATATGTTTCATTGATTTATATGTTCATTCATTAAATATTATTGAGCATCCACTCTCTACTGATGCTATGCCCTGTTCTAAATATCCAAAGGTGAATAAAATATGGAGGGCAGCTG